ACTAGGTCTAATATGTTATTACATCCGATGATGATTGCAGCGGAAGGAATAAAAAATTCGTCAAGAGAATGAAAGAAAATCTTTCGCTCTGCAACATTAGTGGGAGGGTAAATATTAACTAAATTAACATCTACATCGTTGTTCCTGATCAAAATACTGACAATACAACCATGTGAGTCCTTTTTCCAAGAGACAATTTCATCTGAACATTTCGATGAAATCAAAGTGACCACACAACCCTGTCTACCAGAGGCTGGAGACCAAAAATCACAGCCCAGCCATCTGCGAGACAGGGATTTGATAGTGGATTCAGAACTGACTAAAGTTTCCTGAACAAAACAAGCATCACAGTTGGAAGACTCGATCAAATCAAACAAAAGATTATGAGTGAGGGGGTTAGCGAAGCCCCTTACATTAACAGTTAAAAGCTTGAAAAGAAAACTCTTGGGAAAAAAGACTCGCGCACTTGTACCGAATTGTACCAGAGGAATTTCTCCTTGGCGAGATAGATTTAAAGGTAACGGTGACCTCTCCGTTCATTTAGCGCTGCAAACATGCAATCTCTGCCGCGTCAATTTCGGCGTTCGCGAGGGCTTCAAAGACTGACTTCGCCGTTATGTTCTTGCTTGGGGTGAAAAAAGCGGTTCTTGGCTGCTGGGGCATAACATTTTCAGAAGACAGCTCTCTGCTGTCATGGAGGATACTCGTAAGATACAGTCCTCGCCGCCCGTGACGCGTACGATTCTCCGTTCACAATCTGGCGATCTTAAACATTCTCCATCTCATCCACACTCGTTTTGGGCAACTCATTAACGGTCAACACAGGCATCTCATTATCATCACATACATCCATCTCTCGAAGGAAAAACTATATCGCTCACAAAACGAAAAAACTTACAAAAAATGGCACTTAGCAAAGTAAACAAAACACACTTGCTGACTGATCTTAGCCAAAAGGCCGAGAAGCGATGCCAAAGTGAGGGGGGTGGTCTAGGGATCCTTCCCACGGTTTATGGTGGATAGTAGCAGGTCGCCCCCACAAGCTTTTTTCTCCTCCATTTGCATACGAACACGTTGTTTATCTGCCTCAACTTCTTGCTTCTTTCTCATCTCCTCCCTTTGCTGCTCTTGTTTCCTTTTCCGTTCCGGGTCATCCGCTTTCTTTTCGCCGCCACTACCATCCTTAGCCTCGCTCTGCCTAGGTTCCACATTAGCACTATGAATGACAAAAGGACAGCTCGTTAATTCATGGTCTTCATCGATGCACAGAGTGCACTTACGGGGCTGGTCACATTGCTCCACGCGATGACTGGGCATTTCACAATTGAAGCAGGGAGTAGTGTTCCAATCCTTGACTAAATGATCGGGCGAGCCGCAATTACGACAAGTTTTAGGCTGGTTCAGATACCAGATGTGAATTATTTCCCCACCGACATTAATAATGTTGGGGATGTGACGATTTAAGGTCATTCGGGTAGTTCTCAAACTTAACACGCGGCCATAATGGCTCAATCAGCCGATTAGGGCAGTGTGAGGCAATTCATTTGGCGCTTCGTAGATCTTTACCAACACAAGGCTGTTCTCGCAGTCGCCGAGAACAGCAACAACCCTTTTGGACCGATCCCTGATCCCATTGCAATTCCACGACAAGATAGACAACATGATGAAAATAATAGAGCAGCCCATAACGCTATCAAGAAAGGGGGCCCCGGCTAGAAGCCGTCCTGACGGCCAGAGACACACTCGCAGGGAGAGAGTGACAACCAGGAGGCCTGGGAGCCTTCCTAGAGATTTTCGACTTGCCCAGCTCACTCGAAGATGAGCCGGAATTGAAACCCGGCGGTGCCGCCGAGTCCTCCAAAGGAGGCTTCGGGGCTGCCCGCTTACGGTGGTTAGAGGGAGGCACCATCTCGGCATCCACAGACGAAGAGGGAGAAACCTCCACACTTGCGTCTGGGCCAGGCTCACCCAAAACTGGGGACCCATTACTATTAAGATCAGCCGATGAGCAGCGTTTTGGCCCATCATCAGCACTAGTTTTTGCATTACTAGCCACATTATCAAGCTTATTTACATTAACAGCATTGCTTGCAGAGCTTGCAGTACAAATAGCACTGTCGCTTACATTACTACTAGCATTACCACAGCTTACATTACTATTGCTTTCTTTACTAGAAGCGTTATCTATAACATTTGCATTTCTAAGAGTATTATCCCCATTGCTAATTATGTAGCCATGACTATTCAACACGGTGCTAGCAGCCCTCATATCCTCACACACACTCAAAGAAAGTTCACTGTCACGAACCGAGACGGGGGCAACCCCACCGTCCGAAGAACCACCCCCACCAGATGAAGGGGGGGCAGGAGAAGAAAGGGTCTGGCCAGATGGGCCAACCCCCACCACAGAAACGGGTTCAGTATGATGAGCCTCAACAGCCGGGGGCCCACCACCTGCGGACTCACCTGGCTCGGAACCAGGAAGACAATGATTGGGCAACGGACCCCAGGCACCCCCACCGTAGAAACCTGGACGATCAGGGCAGTCACGGGCCACATGCCCCTGCTGCCGGCAGTGAAAACATCTACCCTTGTTAGGGCACTTGGCAGCTACGTGGCCCACCTCCCTGCACGCATCACAGGTGACCCGCTGGCTCCTGTACCAGATCTTGCAGCGTACCCCCTCAATCACAAGGGACCGCGGGATGGGGGATGAGCGGACCATTTTCACCACCCGGGTACCTGTGTGAATACCCAGGAGGCCAACCCACGTCTGGTAAGAGATACCCTCGACCAAGCCATAGTCAGACAAGACCCTATGCACTGGGCCAACATTGTTCTCATAGGGGAAATTGTACACGAGAACCTTCTCCACCGGAGGGGCAGGGGAGATCACTTCACACTCAACCCCACAAATCCGGATAAACCTCTGGTCCTGAAAATCCGCCTTAGCGGCTTCCCCTCCCTCTACGAATGTCACCCGAGCAATACGATTGGGGCACTGTTGAATGGCCACCACCTTAAACTGGGCCTCCTCTGCGAAATAATCCCAAAGAGCCTTTGCAGTATCGAAGATCGAGGTACCCTCAGGGAAAACACCAAGTTTAACGTCGATTGAACGTGTAAGAACGCGTGGGACAACCATCACGAAGGGAAAGTAGGAAAAAGTAAGGGCCCAAAAAGGGGCACATCCTAGATCCTGTACTAACCCCAAATGGGATGGGTGGCCAAAGAAAGAAAAACCACCAAGTTTTCCCTCCCGGCAGGTACTCACTTGAACAAATCGCAGTTATACTTACAGAAATCCAGCCAAAAAAGAACACAATAGCGAGGTCACCCTTCCAATGGATAACTTGACTTCACGATCCGAACTTATGAGGAAGGTCAATGGTTTGTCCACGTCTTGAAGAGCAAAATGCTCGGCATCTACCCGGAGCAAGTTCCCCAGAGCACAAGGGTCCGTGTCGGAGGCAGTAAAAAGATCAAAGTAGAACGAGGACAACGAACGACACAAATCAGCAGGAGAGGAGACAATAGAGCCGTCACTCTCCCTCAGCGCAGAAATCCAACGATCCGCAGACCGTTTCTTCTCAAAGCGGAAAAAATAGGAAGAGGAAATCTCGCCCTCCTCGACCCATCTGATCCTTGCCCGAACCTGAGCGCCCCTCACAGCCTCAGAGTCCAGGACAGCCAATTCAGAGAGTGCAGAATGATAAGGCCCAAGACAAGACATGGAACCAGCATCCACCTTGGACTTCAGATGGTCAACAAGACGTACAAGAAGGTCCCTATTACAGGACCGGGCGCCTGACCTCGAGCAGCAATAGCGAACAGAGCCCTTTGATACGGCTCTTCCCCTCGTCCCACCGATTCGCCAGTGAGGGGAAACGGAGGACCGAGGAGCGCCATGACGCCCAAAAGTCACTAATTAAACGGACATACGCCTGCTCCTGCAAGATAGAAATATTGAGCTTCCAAAGACCGGGGCCAGTTGGGACAACATCCGGGACCGAGACAACAGTGAGGAGACCACAATGGTCAGAGAGGGGACAGGGAAGGAGATCACACGAGACAACAGAAAAAACCCACACATACGGAATACCACAGAGATCAATACGGGAGGCAC